TTAACTAACTAACTAACTAGATGGCTTACCGAACCCGAAGGTTCATCACCGAATTAACCAAACCCTCCACCGGACCCTGTCCTGGGCCAACAAAATCCAGTTTCCTTCAACTCCTATCTCCCATAGATCCCGCCTGACATTATCTTCCCATCTACGTCTAGGTCTCCCCAGCGGTCTCTTCCCCTCAGGCTTCCCAACCAATACCAGGTGCACACCTCTTGTCCCATCCATGCGCGCTACATGCCCAGCCCATCTCATTCTTCTCGACTTAATCACCCTCACAATACTGGGGGAGCAGTACAGATTTTTAAGCTCATCATTATGCAGTTTTCTCCACGCCCCATCGTCTTCCCTCTTAGGACCAAATATCCTCCTCAACACCCGATTCTCAAACACCTGCAATCTGTGTTCCTCCCTCCGAGTGAGAGACCATGTTTCGCACCCATACAAAACAACAGGCAAGATTATTGTTTTGTATACTTTAATTTGCAGGTTCTTAGAAATCAGACGGGAAGACAAAATATTTTCAACGTATTTACGTTCTTGAAAACTCCCTCGAATGGTAAAACTTCGATAAGCGTTGTTAAGACCTTGTGGGGAAAAATGAGGTTAGGGGAATCTAAAGGAACACGAAACGTGATAGTCTACTTAATATTAATAAATCATCATCACGGGTTCTACAACCTATTACAGGCCTTGACCGCCCCAAATATTAATAAATGTTCTAATATAATTTTTGATGTCCATTGTGATGACTGCGTTTCTGGCCGAAAGATGTCATTGTGGTCGATGCATGGCGGAGGGGTGAGTAAGGAGGTGATTTACGGTAACTTTGTCTTTTTATGCAAGTAATCATACTTCTTATGTATGGTGTTGTGACAGCCTTCATCTACAGGTTTAAATTTTAAGCCCACCTCGGAGATATAAATGATCAACCAAGTTATCCGTGTTAGCCTGTTAGGTCTAATGAAAGTAACGCAGTTCTCTACAGAAAATTCTGTTAGAGGATTTACAAAATACTAATATACAATTTGTTAGCGGATGTGTTGATTAACTTTGGCTACATCATAGCTGCCTAGCGTCAGTACGTACGAGGTGCGATCGGAAAGTTTAAAGACTGTGTCAATAGAGG